TTTTTTGAGAAATCTTTGCTATAGGGTATGTGAGCTTGCCAGAGAGACAGAAAACAAGTTACCTCCCCACTCCCCCCAGGAGAGACGGCCACACCACAATTCCTCCTCCTCCATTCCCTCAGGATCTTGGATATGCACACGCATGTACCTGACATGAGTTTTAAGCCACCAGGGCCAGGACTCAAACTGCAGTCGACTACATGGGAGTCCAGCGATGTAACCATTACACCATTTGCTGGTCCCTCAAGTGCCACTCTTAGAAAATAAATTAATTAAATAGTTCACAACCAGTTAAATTGGTGTTTCCTCTATACTGCCTTATTTTCAAATAGTTGAAAAGGCCCGAGTGTAACCGCCACAACTCCATTTGTGAAATGAGCTTTCTGTCTGTCTAGTTGTCGGCGCACACGCACTCTTGCTCACCCTTCACCTTCAGCATTAAGTTGTCTTTTTCAGCTTCTTTCATAAGCTCTAGGTCCTCTGGGATTTCAATATGAGAAAGACGTCACTATGACAAACTCTGAACACTGTGTTTCTGAAAGGCCTGAGCCGTTTCTTCTTCTCAAAGCAGAAATGACATTTAGCAAACTGGCCTTTTAAATCACTAATCTAACTTGAACCTGACAGGGCTATCAATGGGGGAAGAAAACAAAAACATAAGCAAAACCACAGGTTTCCTGCAATGCACTGCTACCCAGGTAAAGCGAAAGCATGCTGAAAACCAGTTTACCCACGGTGCTGAAACATGTAACAGACATGTTTTCTCAGAGTCAAGCTTCTGCTTTTAAAAAAAAGGCACAAAAGGTTATAGGTATTGCAAAGTGAAACAGAAGGAAAATACAAAAAGGGGGGGGGAACAACCTTTCTCTCTCTCTCTCTTTTTTTTATTTTTGGCATAGGGTTTATGTACTCTTTGGAGAGATAGAGAGTGGGAAAGTGAGAAATCACCCCCCAAGGGGGATAGGGGGATGGCCACAGTGGAATCTATTCTCCTCCATTCTCCCCTTGGGGTTCTGGGCAAGCATGCACACATGCCCAGAGTGATTTTTTTTTTTTTTTTTTTTTTTTTAGAGAGAGATTTTTGCTACGAGAGGTTTTTGTTATAGGGCACGTGTGCTCGTCAGAAAGACAGAGACAGAGATACAGAAAGCAAGAAATCACCCCCCAGGGGGGATGGCCACGCCGTAATCCCTTCTCCTCCATTCTCCTCTCGGGATCTTGGGCACGCACGCACATGCGCCCGGCATGAGTTTAAGCCACTGGGTCCAGGACTCGAACAGTGGTAAATTACATGGGACTAATTGCTGGTCCCCCAAAATCTTTCTCTTTCTTAGAAAGAATACTGTAGATATGAAAGGTGAAATCACAGCTAACCAGCATGGGGCTGCAAAGATCAACCTTTGCCAAGTGTGTTTTGCAAGATTCAACACAGAGTCACTCCAACATTTTCCTTCTTCTTGTTGTTAATGAAGGAGGAGAGGTTATATTCTAAGGAAGCTATCCGGAGGCTGCTGGCGGAGACACAGACTTGATCTTCTCGTGCTGGTTAGCTAACATTGATTTTCTGCCCCAGTGGAAGAGATTTTACTCTGATGCATGCCATTTAAATTCATTTTACACAGCTGCTTAATGTGCTTGGCAAGGCACAGCCAAACTAGCTTTGTGGGTCTAAATAGGACTCCTGAGTTGGGGAAGGACAGAGCCTGTGGATTAGCAGCCCACGATAAATGCCTTCCTCCCCCTGCTGTCTTTGTCCCACTGACTCACGAACTGACCTTGAAGGAGCCCACAAGAAAGTCAAAAAGGGGAGAAGAGTTTTCCGAGAATAAGTATGTTTACCTCACTCTATGTTTGTTATTTCACTTCGAGGATTGTGTTTACAGAATTCTGTGTTTGTTGGCCCATATTTAAGACCATGTTTACAGAATTTGGAACTCTCAATTACAAAATTATCATTTAGTCTTGCTGTCGAAATAAATGTATACTGAATATAAAACTATTCGCAGCTCTGTGCGATGCATTCCTGATGGGCAGTGAAACCCGCGTAAGCTTACTGTTCAGGCAGAGCGGGCTGGCGACTCGCGGCCTGCTTGCACTGAGGTGAGGCCCGTCCGTACTGAAACTAGACAGCAACCCTAGGTCTGTACAGGGTGCCCTAACCGCCTCCATGTGCTACGCCAATTCATGGGAGGGTCTCGAGCATCTGTGAGTTTTGGTGCCCAAGGGGGCCGGAACCAATCTCCCACGGGTACCAAGGACAACTGGACATGCGGAGTGATGCTTAGCCCGAGCGTTTCTGCACAGCGGGTCAGTCCATAACAACACGCGGGGTCGCTGGGAGAGTCCTGACATGTCCTTCTGCTTCTTCATGCAAATGTGTCGTGACTTTTCTGACGACCCAGTACTTTAAGAGCACTCATTTACTAACCTACAAATAGCGACAGAACTTGAATCTTCATAAAGTTTTGTAGTAGGAAAGGACAGAGAGACACTTTTAGTTGCTGTATGTAATTCCTGTATTGAAATTGATAATATTATGGCAATAACGTGCTTAGAGAGAAAATTCGGACTTGGATGATCTTGTGTTTTCTGGTGGCTTCACTATTCTAATACGGGCCGAGAGGAGGCACTAGGCGGGCTGTGGCGCAGCCCTCTGCTCAGTGGTGAACGTGACGAGACCCCGCCACAGGCCCAGGAACAGCCTCTGGTGGCACGACCACAGCGGGGCCCTGTGGACTTGGGGGGGGGTGTATGGCAGCAGCTCAGGGCAGTGGTTGGATGGCCATCATACAGTCACAAGGACAGTGCTCTCGACAGGTCCAGACACGACAAGGACAAGGACGGGGACGGTGCCAGGGCAGGCGACCCCATAGCTCCACACAGGTGCAAGTGTTTCCTTCCCTCCTGGGCACGACGGGAAGTGCCATGCCAGAGCCATGCAGACAGGGTGTGGGCGGCATGCAGTGCCCAGCACGGCCACAGCGCCATTCACAGGAAGCACAGGACACGTGGACGAACGAAACGGACCAGAGACAGCCCTGAGAGATGGGTTCCTGTCAGGTCTCTCTGTCTAGGTTTGGGCATTCCAAAATCCTGTCCCAGCCCGTGGCATGTTCTTCAACGGTGTCAAAGAAAATGCCCAGGCCCCGCAGCAAGTCCGGGCATGTGCTACCTACCCGTACTGGTCAGGCGGGTGCGTCGTGGGAGCCTGAGAGTTGCCACAGTTGGGATGCTGGGAAGAAAACATGTGGCGTCTGCCAGCCCCAGACTGGCTGGGATAAGCAGGCGACCTAACGAATGGTGGCCTAAAGTGGAACAGAAGAACAGGCTCTTTGGGTTTGTTCTGCAGCACAAGTTTGAATCCCCGGTCCACATGCATTCCCACACGGGGGTGTGAGTAAGCACATGGGGCACTGAGGGGGGACCTGGGTCAAGTTCCTTGGAAAAGATAAAACGTGGAGGGCAGAGCCAAAGAGAGAGAAGGGAGCTTCTCACATCGAATCTCAGCCTGCAGTTTTGAAGTCTCGCTTTGATTTTTTGTAAAAGCAAAAAAAACCCAAAAAAACCAAAACCCAAACCCCACGAAATCCATAGCCCCCATTTAAACCCCTGGGGAGCTACAGCAGACTGCAGAAGGCGATGGCAAAGCCCTGGGAGGCCCAGCGACGAGAGAAGGAGAGTGACGGCAGGGCCGTGTCTGTGCGCGCGTTCCCATCGGGTGGGGCCCTAACGGGTTCGGAGACGGAGCACAGCGAGGGGTCGTAATCAAACAGAATTCAGCCGCAGTCTCTCTGGTTATCTTCTCATCACTATCGAGGGTTTCACGTCAAATGAAACCAAACACGCTCTACTTAGCGGAATGAAAATAACTTGTGCTTTATGACTTGAAACACTGGACAAGTCATTGAGACCTAAACTGGAACCTCAGCTGGCCCAGCCTAAGCAGTCTGCACAGACAGGTTTATTAAAACATTCCCCAAAGCCTGTGTAGATTGAGCTGAGCAGTACGCGGCCGGGTTTGAGAGATCTCAAGGAACTGTAATGTGGATGACAGAGACAGAGACAGAGAGTGAGAGAGAGAGAGGGAGGGAGGAATAACTGACTGTCATTTTACTTCCTCACAGGAAATTTATTATTTGCCACAACAAAGAGACTAGAGGGGCCCCACATTCCCCAAATAGCAGCTTCTGAGGAAAAGTAACAAAGGGACGCACTTAAATATACACACACAGGCTTTTGTTTTCCTTGGACACAAATTGGAATCTTCTATCTTTTCTTCTGAATAAACCTTTAAGATCTATCTTTCCGTGTGCTGTTTTAAAACATATTTACATGTGCTTCTTTGAAAACATATTTGCCTTTGTGTCATAGATTTTAAATTAAGTATGCTACTTTTAGACAGGTCATGTATTCACTTCAAGAATAATTCTTTTTAAATCAGGATTAAAAACAAGTGAAGCTATCTTTGCTTCATTAACCATAATTTAGATAGGTAGACAGGTATGCTCGGAAGTCATACGTAACACATACGCATCTCACATAGGCTCCTTCAGACACACACACAACGCACATGGGACACATAAAAAGTTTCTGTTTTATAAAGAGGTTTAGGTCAGTAGAAAAAGGTGTGAGTTCTTTTTCACCATTTTAGATTTTAAATAGATAGTAACCTTTAGTATTTCTTGCTTAAAAGCCCTAGTTTTCAATGGACCGCACGGACACGTCCCCATGCAACCAGACTGGCTTTCTGGCTGCAATGCCTGTTCACAGACATTTCATGGCGCCTCCCACGGTGGGCAGACTCCTTCCTCGACCCACCAGAAGACAAGGGGTGCCACCACTCCCTGCCCTGTGAGCCACAGACCGGCGGGACAGACAGCACAGCCAAGCGCAAAGGCCTTCTCCCGCGTGGGGAGCGCGAGGGAGGACTGCAGCTTCGTGCTCAGCCGGGTGGGCACGCGCGAGGACGCGGACTGGGCCGGGCTGCGTGGGCGGCATACCTGCTTTGTGCTGAGTTTGCAGCAGCCTGCATCACTGCTGCGGCTGCCTCCTGTGCCTTACGGTTCACAGTGGGCATTGGCGGCCCCATTCCTGGCCCTCCCTGCTGAGCCATGCCAGGAGAACTGGGGGTCGTGCTGCTCATGTTTCCAGGGAACGGTCTGTTCTGCATCCCGGCTGATGGCATTCGTCCCAGGGGCACAGCCCCACATGGCTGGCTCGGCCCTTGTCCATGCATCTGGTTGTTGGCATTGATACCCATACCGGGCCCTGGGCCGCTGTAGCTTGCACTGGGCACCCCGCTATACGTTGGGGGTCTGGAGTAGTTACCTAAACAAAAAGCAAAGACAAATTAAAGCCTTTGTTTAATCTTTCGACTTGTGAAAACATTCACTGGAAACACATTTTTGCCCAACAGAGTGATCCCCAGAGAACGTGAGCCGGGCTCTGGATGGGCCCTTCCTGCGGGCACCAACGAGGTTGCCCCTCTCCAACACGCTCTCTGCAGGTCCCCAAGGCCCGGGGGAGCAACCTCAGAGATGGAGCCCGCACAGGACACTGCGACACTGAGGAGGGACTGGCTCATCATAAAGATCAAATCTCCTAGCAGGCAACCAACAGGAGGGCCGCGGGGCTCTGACACGTCTGACACCTCGTGTGCTTACATCTTAACCCCAGCAGGGATTTAGCTCCCTGGCATGGGGTGAGGCGCACCTGCACCCCCTAGGCTCCATCCCTACTGCAATGGACAGGGAAGAGAGGGCTCTGGGAGACAACAGGTGACAAAATGCCCACATCACCTTCCATCCCTCTGTGTGGACCTCGGCACACACAGCTTCCCTCGGCCTGGGCACCACCTCCCTTTGCTCAAGCACCAGAGACAGTGGCTGGCTGTGCTGGGGGGTGTTGTCCTAGAAAAACCCGCTCCAAGTGCCAGCACGACTCAGCCCCACAAGAAGGAAGTGGGGGTGGGGATGGGAGCAGGTGGGCCCAGCTGGAGTGGGACGAGTGGGGGCAAGGGCATTGCATGGCTCCAACTGCCGTGGCAGGTAGATCTCCCTCTCCCTTCCCTTCCCTTCTATTTTGATTATGTGTAAATAAATTAAGTTCTGGTACAACAAAGACACGCGTACTACCACTTTAACAAAGAGAACTGCAGGTTGCCCTGCTGAAGTGCTGTGTGTGCAGGGCACTGCGTAAGTTCTCTGCACCATGAGGCCACTCATCTCTCCACGTCCAGGAGGCGCAGGAACCACCCGGGCTCCTCCACCTGCAAATGAGAGAAGAACTAGCAGGTGAGGACTGAAGCCCTCATGGCTAACCAGTGCCACAGTGAGGGACTGCGGATAACGTAACTGTGAGGGCAGGGCTTGCAGAATATGGGTTCGTGCTTTTCGGCGAGTCTTCACTACATTCTGGAAGATCCTTCCCATCCAGCTAACATAACTACATGCTTAAAATATGCCAGAAAGGGTTCCGGGGAGACAGGGTTAAACACAGCTTGATTCCTGCACTAGAGAAGCCCAGCACACGTGCACATGCGTGTGTCTGTGTGTGCTGGAGAAGGGGCAAACACAAGGAAAAAAGCACCAAAGGGGAAGGCAAGTCAGGTTGGCTGTGCTTAGGGGCCGGCCGTGGCAGGGTCAGCGCGAATTTCTCTGAAAGATGCGCTGGAATCTGAGAGCAGCAGGCAAGGGGGCGGGGGCTGGAGCCCTGAGGTGGACGAGGCTCTGTACCTGCTGACCACAGGAACCCAGTGACCTGTCTCTGCCTTGTTACACCTTCTCTGCAAAGCAAAGACACTCCTCTCTCGAAGCTGTCCACTTGAAGAGGTGTCAGCATTGAGCAATGTATGCAAAGCGCTTCAGATGTGGGCATTAAACGGCAGTTTTGGTGCTGGCTGGTGACTAAGGCAGAAGGGAGGAGAGTGCACTCCTGGGAGAGGCCACAAACGCTGGTGCAGGTGGCAAGGACAGACACACCCAAGACACGTCACTTGGGGGCTTCGTGGAGCTGCTGGGGCAGAAGGAGGAGACCAGACCTGGTTGGCCTTGGGTACCAGGCCTGTATGTTTAGGTTTATCCTGGAGATGAGGAGGAACTTCTCAAGGATTTCCAACAAATAGAAATAGAGTCATAACCAGAATCAAAGCAAGTACTCAATATTTACTGTGTGCTAAGCTCAGTCCCAAGTCCTTTGAGTGAACTCACTGCACCCTCGCATCAAGCCCACGGGGCACTTACTACGATGACCCTCATTTTGGAGAAGAGGAGCCTCAGGCAGAGGGATGCCGAATGATTTTTCTCCTGGTCATCAGGCCAGAAGCCAAGGTCTGAAGCAGGCAGCCTGTGAGGGCGGCTTAGTCTAGGCATGTCACACTCTGCTGTGCGGCTTCTCCAATTTTAAGGACCAGCAAACTTACCTGACAGTGCCACCATAACCGTAAACACAGGTTTCCCTAAATTCACGTACATAAAGCTGCGCCGCCTACAAGTCTGTAGGAAAGTCGGGGCTTCCCCACGCTTACTGGGTGCTTACTGTTGGGGGATTGTGCAAGGTCTCGTATGTGATTGCCCATTATCAACCGCAGAGGATGCGGAGGAAACCGTCTGTGTAGCCCACGGACTGGCACATTTTTTTCCAGTGAGGGCCAGACAGGAACTATTTTGGGCTTTGTGGACCAGACAGTCTGTGTCCTAACTACTCCGTTCTGCCACTGGAGTCCCAAAGCAGACGCATACTCAGGAGGGAAGGGCGTGTTCCAAGGAAATGTGACTTCCAAAAACAGGTGGTGGGCCAGAGGGGGCATGGTTTGCTGACCTTTGAACGGGGCTCATCTTGGGACAGGTGAGTAATAAATTGCTGTTCTCACAACAGAAAGGGAGACTGGTTCAAAGCAGCAGCTTCTTTAACCCTGACGACCACCTGGAGAGCTAAAGGCAGCCTCAGGATGAAGAGGGGGGTAGCAGAGCTGGGCCCCGGTGGAAGATGCATGGGGATAGAGACAGGCCTGGGGAGGGGCAGCATCACCTGCCCCAGGTGTGCTCAGCTGCACTTCAGCCGGTTCCAGCTGCCTCTCCACGAACGTGCGCTGCCTTCGAATGATGGGTTCACAGACGTAATCACTTACATGGTTCTCAAGGTCAGTTTCAAAGTCCTTTACAAAATAACTCTTAAGTTGCTTCTGAATTTCCAACCCCCTGGGACACACAAAAGCTTCCCAGTCTGACTTCCAGTTATGCTGTCTCAGCGCAAAGGTACTCAGTGCGCTGGGCGGGCAGAACTTAGGGCAGGAGCCATGCTGCCACCCTCCTCTTTGAGACCACAGTCTCCTGAGAGCACGATTTGAGACTCTTCCACCCTGACTTTGTGTCCCCTCACGTTGAGAGTCTGATAAGGTCAGTGAAGTGCGGAGCTCCTTTGGGGCTCTTGCGTTTTATGAAAAGTAAACACACTTGCGGGTGGTAAGAGATGTAGCGGCTAAGGGTCCTGGACTCCACATGGCCGACCACGGTTTGAGCCCCAGACCTTGTGGTTTGAAAATCACAGCGGGCACGTGTACATGTGTGCCTAAAACCCCGAGGGGAGGATGGAATGGAAGGGACTGCGGCACAACCATGCCCCCTTGGAGGTGATTTCTCACTTTCCCTCTCTGTCTCTGTCTGTCTGTCTCTCTGGCAAGTGCACGTATACTATGGCAAAAACAAAAAACAAACAAACAAACAAAAACCCTAAAGAACAAACCAAAACAAAACCAAGGAAAAAAGTAAATACACTCATTCATAGTTCGAAAGCATGAGTAATGAATTCACACATCCAGACCACGGTGCTGGGGCTAGTTTCCACCCTCCCCCAACTCTTGGAAAGTGACTCATTTGGTAAGGAGTCCTTTTCAAAGAAAAATATGTGCCCTTTGCTTTAGAAGGAAATGGAATGACACTTTAATCCTGTTTTAGAAAACAAGCATTTAGCCATGGTTAGTGCCCACTATGACAATAGTGCAGTTTTATTAGCGTAAGAAAGCTCCTGACGTTGCTGGGTCTCCTTATACTTGGAACGGAGAGAAGCCGTGACTCCGAGTGCTTGCACCGCGGGTCTGACTGGCAGGCCAGGGCTGTGTTTTAAGGAGCACAAAGGAAAGAGATGCCGGAGACGGCTGACTACCCGGTACCCGCCTCCCTCTCACTCATGCTATATGCCACGGAGGGGGAGCGATTCGATAGCTCTGCTCAATGCAGCAGCTGGTCTCCGTCCTGCAGCAGGAAGCTGGTGCACTTGAAGTATGCACCCATGCATAACAAGCGTGCACACTCGCACACACACGCATGCGCGGGGGCTTAGAAAGGCGCACTTGGTCCTGGGGTCCCAACCTGCTTTTCTCCAATCTGTTGGGCTGATGCTATGGAGTGGAGCTCAAAGGCACACGTCAGGAGAATAGGTTCTAATTACAGAGGCCTCTATTCAGCAGAAGAAATACAAGGTCCCCTTTTCTTTCCCTGGAAACTTTAAAAGGCTTTCCTCATTAAACTCACATGCCTGGATAAAAATGGTTTCTAAAGGCTTAAAATGGCTTGAGAGGCGGCAGTGGATAAAGCGCCAGCTTTAGTCTGCGTCTGCATACTGGTTCTGACACTCGTGAACAGCATGGTTTTAGACAAGTTAACCTCTCTGAGCAGTGGTTCTGTCATCTGTACAGTGATGATGAGAACGGGGAATGGTTCAAAGTGGCAGCACCGTCCCAGGCAGGGTGCCGCCTGTCACATACGAGCTGCCATCACCATCAGTGACAACCACCACCACAACAGGACTGTTATTTTCCCCCACCGTCTTTCTCAAATGTGTGGATGGGGCAAAAAAAATGATTCACTACCCCTCTTTGCCTACTTGATAGCGTATCTTTCTTCCCAAAATAAACAAAAACCAAATATGTTAGCCAAGCAAAATATGAGAGGAAAAGCCAGGAATGAGAAGTGCAATCTTATTTCCATGTTTCTCTAATAGATTAGTAATTTGTTGGCACGAGCGCTGACAGAAAACAGATGGATCCAGCACCAGGCACAATGAGGGCAGCAGATGCCGGGCCAGCCCACCTCAGCTGGACTGGTCTTGCAGCCAAGTCCGAGAGCCCACGGCTTTCAAGTGGGTTCATCTTGGCACATCAGCTTTGGAAAACTGGTCACCCAACGAATTCAGATTCAGTCCTCCAGGAGTTACAGCTTAATCCAGCACCAGGCAGAGGAAGCAGGAGTTAGACTCCTCCAGCCACCACGGCTCCAGCAGGAGCACCAGTAATTCTGTTCCTGAGTCCAGATGGCTAGATTGCTAGTTAC